TTGGTATCTGTTTTAAAAGTATAATTTGTAAAAATTAAATTTCCTGTTCGAGACAAGAATTAAGAGTTGGTGGTTGATTAAAGCTTTGGACAAATTTTGAGCGACACTGGAGATGAGAGTTTTCACTTAACGTTGTTTTCATTTAAAATCATACATGGAGCGTGAACTTTATTTATCACATAATATTTTAATCTTTTGTGATATGCCTGTCTGATTTTTCCCAGCCATATCCTTTGAAAGTTGTAAATAAAAAGTATTAGGGAGGACGTGGTTATTTAGTAAGAGTACATTTCAAGAAGATAAATGGTAAATTCAGAATAATAACTGACTGTACAATAAAGTGTAGCGGCAGTAGTATAGGAGGGACCGGTTAGGCCGTTTTTTTGGGGGGGAATCTCATTAAGGTGGGGGGGAATAAATTAGCGTCGCTGACGTCATAGGCTATTGTCTTGATCTCATGAATAAAATGCGCAGGAATCTCATTAACTTGCGGTGGAATCTCATTAAGTATATCCAGTTTGGCGGGTTTATCAATGACGTCATGTGCTATTTTTATCTTGTGGCGGTCATGGTTGGTATAACCGGTTTGACAGGTTAGTTATTTTTGGAAGATGATGTCATATGTATTCCGGGGTACTATGATGTTATAGTTGTTTTGAATACTTCAATAGGAACAATACGCTTGCCTAGACTTGCCCGGGATCTTTTAACCCTGATTGGATAGTAAACAATCTATTATGTGTTCAACATAAAAGCGCGCTCTCCGTTCAGCATATTACTCTTGCAATCGCTGTGGTAAGAAAACAAGTTCGCTTGCCTAACTAAAAATTCGGTTATAAACAAAACTCAGACGCAAAAAATGGAGCTCAAACTCTTTATTTCAATCTATTGCAAAGAGTGCTCTCTCTATAAAATTACTTTATCTTGATGTCTTGTTACACGCTCTGTTAACCAGTAGTAATTTGCATCTGACTCATACCTCTTTTGTGTTCTCGCAAATTAAACAATCACGCTTAAGTCCTCTAACAAAAAGATAAGGTACCGTTTCATACACAATTGTTAGGTCTATTGAAAAATAAAATATTGCACTGCAAAGTGCATCGACAACCGTTTAATTAATTTGTTATTGGTCTATCGAGCATTCGTTTGGTTCTTTTCTAGGATTAAGTCATCAATAAAACACACTTAAAGTTTGGTTGTTTACAGTTTTTATTGAAGTGCAACAATACAAAGATCCAGGAAATAAAAAATTCTGTAACATTCATAGTAATGTCTAGTCTTCATCTTGTGGAATGGGCTGCTTTTCGTACAATCGATTGAGTAAGAATTTGCGCTTATCGATCGCTAGTTCTGTCGATTCCAACCAATCAAATCCTTCTGTGTCTTTAAGCTCTTTTTGAGTTTCCATCACTTTTTTGAAGGTGGGGTCTTTTTTCATTGCACGCATCCACTGTAGATTCTCTAAGAGTACTTTTCTTAGCTCTTTTCTGTAAACAGGAAGAAGAGCGTTCTCGGCTTTCACGCGGGCCACATTTTCTGAATCTCCGTCCCCTTCGTACTCATTGATCAATACGTTGAGCTGGGTCTCATGGCGTTTCTCGGTTTCATCAAGAATGCGTGACCAAGGCTCTAAGTTTTCCGTTTCTTCCTCTTGGGAAGACTCCGTTCCTTGGCTAGAGACTTCGCTTTCTTGGGAGAAATCGCTTTCTTCGCTGTCTTCATATTTTCCAGCACCTTGTTGAAGGTATAAGGTATAGCCTGTGCTCGTCATCTTTGGTTTGAGCCGCACGCGTTCTGATAGGAAACTAAACTTCAGAGAGCAACGCGCCTCTTTTATAGAAAATTGGTGAAGGCGGGGCTACTAAGCGTTCTCCTTCGTAAATAATAATCGATCTTACATCGACCCCTCATCGACCCCACATCGACCCCACATCGATCCTACATCGAGCCCACATCGACCCCAAATCGACCTCACATCGACCCTACATCGACCTTACATCTACCCTACATCGACCTTACATCTACCCCACATCGACCCCACATCGACCCCACATCGACCCTACATCGACCCTACGTCGACCCTACATCGACCCCACATCGACCCCACATCGACCCTACATCGACTCCACATCGACCCCGCATCGACCCCACATCGATCTAATATTACACCACGATTGACAAGAATTGGATTAGAACTAATGATGACTCATCAAATTTGATTAGCGAAGCTATATAAACAGGAAAATAACTTATTTCCTTCAGTGTGTTGGAGGTTCTCGTGTGGTAAAGATGCCGTATAAATTCAAGAGAGATTGCCCGGTATGTGGTAAGCCAGAGTTACTCTCTTTGAGTGATCACCTGCGTCAAGTGCATCGATTAAAGAGCCACGAAAGAAAGCAATGGCTAAAAGCAGCAGTATTTTCGGGATCTAAGAAAAGTCTGGGTATAACACAAGGAGTGTCCCGACGTTTTACACAATTATTGCAAACAGAAAAGGAAAGAAGAAGAGAACGAAAACGAACTATTGCAGCTGTCAAAGAACCGGAAAAACCTCAGCATTGTATAGTCAAGAGGCCCAAATTCACTGACGATGTTTCCCTGGAAACCAAGGCATATCCAGAATTTATGTTTCGACATAAATTTTCACTTCTCGTGGTGGTGGAGGGAAAACAATAGAAATGTGGTGGCGGTGGTGGTGGTGGAGGGAAAACAATAGAAATGTGGTGGTGGTGGTGGTGGTGGTGGAGGGAAAACAATAGAAATGTGGTGGTGGTGGTGGTGGAGGGAAAACAATAGAAATGAGGAGGAGGAGGAGGAGGGAAAACAATAAGAAATGAGGAGGAGGAGGAGGGAAAACATTAAAAAATGAGGAGGAGGAGGAGGAAAAATAAAAATGAGGAGGAGGAGGAGGAGGAGGAGGAGCAGGAGGGAAAACAATAAAAAATGAGGAGGAGGAGGAGGGAAAACAATAAAAAATGAGGAGGAGGAGGAGGAGGAAGAGCAGGAGGGAATAAAAAATTTGAGGAAGGAAAATAATAAAATTGTGGAGGAGTAGGAGGAAAATAAAAAATGAAAACGAGAGGGGTAAGTAAAACATTGCTTGCAGTGTAAAAAAGAGCTAGTTTGCCTTTACCCTCTTTAATATACACGATTTGCCCGCCAAAAATCAGTGAACCGGAACAAGGACAATCACAGCAGCAGGAAATAGGAAGTGCATAATTACGTTACGTCTCAGTGATTTTAAGTCACCAGTATACTTAATTAAATCCGCCGCATTTTATTCATGAGATGAGGACAATAGCCTATGACGTCATCGGCGTTAATGTATTCCTCCCCACCTTAATGAGAATCCTCCCCAAAAAAGACCATTGTCCACTAGATGCAATACACTAGATGAATAAAGCGGCCCAAATGCACTTTCAAAGGTTTCATCAAAAAAGGAGTAGGAAAACAGACAATGAGACAGTGTTCAAGGTGGTCATACTAAGCAATATTCTTTGCTTCAAAATCGATCGTGTCTTCAAATTTGATTAACTCAGTGGTGAGTGAAATTTTTACTTTTCTCGCTCTACTAGGCGCTGAAAAAAATACAATTGTTAGGAGTAGTGCAGAAGGTAGAGGTCAAAGCCTTTTGGCAGTGAACGTTAGTATTTAAGTTAATAATGTATTTTTTAAAGTTAGTTAACGGTGTAGATGGATCTTATGATTACCGAGGAAAATCAAATTTGCGAAAAGAAATCATTTAAAAAACCAGTGATTATTAGCTAAGCTCGCTTATCTTTACTAGGTGCTGAAAAAATACAATTGTTAGCAGCAGCGTAAAAGGTAGAGGTCAAAGCCTTTTGGCAGTGAACGTTAGATTTAAAGTTAATATATATTTTTTTAAAGTTGGATAACAGTGTAGGTGGACCTTATGATTATCGAAGAAAATCAAATTTGGGAAAGAAATTTAAAAAGTCAGTGAACGTTAGCTAAGCTCGCTTATCTATAACTCATCGAATTGAAAAGACCTTTCTTTTGAGTTTCTTTTTCAAACAAAGCGATGGGAACTGTTATGTCTTGAGCTATCCGGTAATATTACGCTTACAACATTTAGGCTGCGGCCCTTCCAGTAGTTGCACGATACTTCCCTGTGTTTTTATCTGTTTGTTTTCCAACCGGAATTGAAAGTTTAAAGTTTAGTTTCGCGATGGGCTGTGACGCATAAAAAGGGTCCCTAAAAAAATCTCTAATTTCTGAGCTTATCATTTTGCGGTTAACAGTTATATATTTCATTAAGAAAACACACACATTTTCGGTGGACCTTAAGAGCCGATCGAGATCAATTTTTAACAATAAGTAGCATTCATGCTTTTCATAGGATTGCAAACGTAACGATCTTTTTATTATTCACAGAACCTAAACACTTTTGAAAGCGAAACTCTATTAATAAAACGCTGAACAATTTTACAAACTCATTGCCTAAGTAGCGGCTACCAATTAATTATTACCAAATTAGCCTCGTTCTGGTGTTCAAATTCTGAACAGCAGGGCGTCTGTTATGTTCGTTGCGTGTGAACGGAATAACTATTTAGTCGACATTTCGTCTACTGAGTGCTGTGTGAACATAACATTTGCATAGGTCTGCATACATTTCAGGCGTGCAGCTAGCAGGCAAGTTTTGTGGACTTGCAATTCCTAAGCCAACTGTCATTTGACACTTTTGACGAAAGACACACTCAACTCAACAATTCAAAACATGACACGGTTAAAATAATGAGCGATCCAATATTGTCAACAGTCATCAAGCTCTTTTTCTCTTCAAACACAGCTCAAAAGAATGAAAAAGAGAAATCTAAAAAAGATATAAGCCTACTTTTTTTTCTTTTATCGGGTTATAAAGAGAGCTCCTATTTCTTAGATAAACACACTACAGAAACATTTTGAAAATTAATTGTTTGCATTAAGTGCTTTTTATCGATCTTTTGAAAAAAACGGCCTGTCTAATCCACAGAAGACAAATGGCTGCCATTTGCGGAATAAAACCCTGGATTGGAATACTTAGGAACGACACTGCTGCCTACCTCAATGATATGATGATGATGAACTTTACTCACGTGTCGATGTATTTAGCTGACGCTAATTGGGGACACAACATAATGATAAAATAAATAATAAATAATATGATAAATAATAGATAATAAGTAATAAATAACATGATAAATATTCTATAATAATATGTACATTAATAAAAAGCTATAGTATAATCCTATAAATATTATATATGCATTTACAATATGCTAAAATAATCAAAACAATTCTAGGAACACGGGCACAACTTAAGAGGTACAAATTACGCACGCGGAGCAATTGTTGTCATTTATCAGTTCAGTAAGATCCTTACATCTAATATGAACCTTAACCTAGATAGGCTGCTCGTTTCTGTGATGTTTTTATCTAGTTTGTTCCATAAAAAGGGTCCAAGATATCTAAGAGAGTGTTTACCATACAATACAGAATTAAATCTAGGAATAGAAGACTTAGTGCTGAAAATGCCATAAATCAAATCAGGAACTAGCCTATATCTAACCTTGTACATGAGTATAACTATGTCTTGTAATCTCCTATTAAGAAGGCTTGGTAGTTTAGCACGATCTAATAAGTTCATATACGTTTCTGAATGTAAGTTATAAACCTGACTATCCTTAGTGCCCGCTCTTGAATTCTTTCAACCTTTCTTGTATCCGACGCCTTACAGAAATGTCATGTGTGATGCCAATAGGTGAGATATGGCATGATAGCAGTTTTATAAAGTAATAGTTTAGTCTCCGTAGTAATTAGGTTTCTTAACCTTTTACTGGCCTTTTTGCACAATTCGCTAATATGTTGGCTGAAAATTAGATTCTCGTCAAAGTTCACACCCAGTAGCTTGATATTATCCGTTGTCTTAATTGCTTGATCACCGATCTTGATGTTAATCTGTTCAGTTTCATTACGTTGTTTAATCCCTATGGCGTTAAGTTTTTCTGGGTTGGACAGTAAATAGTTGTCCTTATACCATTTAAGGACAAAGTTTCCTTCCTTGATACTCGTAACTGTCAACGGATCTCTTGCCATATTTGCATTTCTTAGTAACCTGGTCATCACTGTTACAGTAATCAAGACCCCCTCCTTACAGAAGTCGTGTAACATTCTACTGAGTAACCTGGCCTTTGCAGATTGCCTCACGGGAGTTATCGTCCAGCCCATGTTTATTGTGTGGCGACTTTTTCTTCAAAGAGCCCGGCAGTCATGTCTACATCAAGTTCTGGTGTTTGATTTTTTTTACACTTAACAAGTGCTTACCGTTGGTTTATAATTTGCCAACGTTATAATTATCAGTTTTGATCGCCACTATGCCTTGGACAGACCTCTGGTGTATATAACTCGCGCCACTAAAACAGGTGGGTCTTTTACTTGATTATTTCTCAGAAGAAAAGATATATGGACAATTTCACTGAGTAACTATAGTTACTAAGGGTATGATAGAGTTCTAACTGGTCCAGGATAAAGGCATTTAATCGAAGAGCTGGAATGTTTTGCCCAAGATCGCTCTCTCTCATTGGTTACTTGGAGGTCACATGACACTTAGGCCTAGAAATAGACTGTTTCCCGCCAAAAGTGTCTGAGTGGGTACCATTGCAAAATGTATGAAATCAGTGACCGCTTGCTGATGTTTACTTTCAAAAATTTGTTCACGTAGAAGGTTTTTCTTTGTGTGCTATATTTCACCCAGGGAAACAAGTTAATTATGTTTCTCTTCAATCTCAATGTTCACCTCGGCTCATCCGTGAAAGTCGAAACAATAGATAATTTTTTCATGTTATAAAGTCTATAAAGGGTTTTATATACGATTCAAGAGACATTCATTGCCTTAAACGCACTTCTTGCCGAACTGGTGTTAAGTTGAGGAAAAGTTCGAAAAGTTCGTCTCCTGGACAAACGTGGATCTTCAAATGCGATGAACTAAACTAATAAATCAAAAATTTGTACAAATGAATGATAGCGGGGCTCCCACAAAGCCCCATACTCATAGAATAATTATGGTCAACCTCTGTTCGTTTCATTGTCACGTGATTGACCGAGCTTACGTAGGTAAGCCTTGGCGGATTGTGTTCTTAAAAGTGGCATATTATGCTTCTAGCAGTGCTCGAAATTTTGCCAAATTATGCCAAAATTATGCCAGAATTCCCAAATTATGCTCCTGATTTCCGAAGTTATGCTCACAAAATGACGCAGATTCTGTACATATAGCAGCGCAATAACGACACCAAATTATGATGTTCTTCAAATAAACTGTTGTTATAAATTTATAGTGTTTTATGGCAGTTTCTCTCGGCTCTCAGCTGTCCAAATTAGCTGCTCCCATCTCTGAACCGTTTGTAAAATGCCTTCCACGACTTGGGAACTGGTCAAAAAGTATAGGTGGGGAGGTGGGCCGGAGCATTTGGAAGTGTGGTTGATAAAAAACACATGACCCACCCCCTCCCTTCGGCAACAAAAATGACTGACCCACCCCTAAAGCAAGGTTGGAAATTGCATGACCCACCCCCTAGTTAAAACATGGATGTTTTGTTTCCTCTTAATAATCCAATAAAACCTTGTTCTGTGCTTGACAAAATTTGTTGATACACTGCTACAACAAATATCAAAATCACAGAAATCGTACCTTTCATTAAAAAGACAAATGTGAAAAACCGAACATTTCTTGTTTCGATGGACGTTATGAGTCTTGACACAAATATACAGCAAAACAAGGGTATATTGAAATTGTCTGTCACAAAGCATATGAAAGACAACCTATTCCTACACATTACTTGCCGGAAATGCTTAGATTAATCCTTAAAGAAAATTTCTTCCACTTCAATGGAAAGCACTACCTACAAAACCATGGAACTGCAATGGGCACAAAGACAGCAGATTTGATTCCTCTGCCGATATTTTCATGACATATATGAAACAACAACTCTAAGCAAACCTGTCTTTAGAACAACAGTTTGGAAATGCTACATACACGATATCTTTTCCCTATGGGACATGAGTAAACCAGACATCGAAGCCTTCATTGAACAAGCAAACTTACATCACCCAACTATTGAATTCACAGCCGAAACATTTGATGCTGAGACTGCGTTTTTAGACACAGTTGTATACAAAGGCACAAGATTCAAGGAAAAATCTATCCTTGATGCAAAGACACATTTTAAACAAATGGAAACTTTTTGCACACACAATTTACCTCATGTCACCCTCCAAATGTTAAAAAACTCCTCAGAAACAACTTTGAGCAAAATAATTCAAATTAAAAAAAAAAAACGCTTGATCAACGGAGGCTGGAAATAAAATTCACAAAAGGTAGTTTAAACTCCTAAAGGAGGAAAAAGAAATATTGCCATTCGTGATACAATGCCAGCCCTCAGTGTCTACTATAAAGGAAGCTTGAATGAAAAAATGGAATCTAATATAAAACCAACTATAACTTCAATAAATTTTTGAAGAACCACCAATCATTTCCTTACAAAAAAAGAAAATCATTAAAGGACATGCTCATTAGAACAAAAAAAAAAAATGCCCGTATAGATGTGCGGCCTGTCACCCTTTGTATTTTATCGCACAACAGATTTGTGAGTATTTTAGCGATAATTCCAGCTGGCTAAGTTTTATTTAACAAGTGTAGTCAACTGTCTCGTTAGTAGTTAGTGCCTATGTATGTAATAAAATAGGGTGACCCACCCCCTAAGGGTAGCTGAAAATTGCACGACCCACCCCTGGCACAAGGCTCAAAGCCTCATGACCCACCCTCTCTCTGCTCCGGCCCCCCCCCCCCCTCTGTACTTTTTGACCAGTCCCGTAACGATCACACTTGTATATACTGACTGAACCAAAAGAATATAGTACTCTCTTGATTTAAACTAACTCAAACTATAGCGAACTATAACATTGAAAGAATCAAGCCACGAAGTAAATCAGCTTGTCTTGACAGTTCTGAGTTCTTTCAGCACCAATAATTGCTTGAATAAAGATAGATAAGAATAGTATACACAAGTCAACATCAGCGCTTATTATACTGCAACATTACGCTGGTCTACTTTTTGTAACTTTTGTAACTTAATTTGATTTACCACAAAATACAAATAACGATAAAACGAGGCGGTTACACAAAAGCAAATGAAAGTGGCGTGGAAGCCCAAAAAGAAACCATGAGGCTTATAGACATTGGGCTCCCTCAGAGTAAAAATAAAGTTAACAGTAACAGTAAGGCCAGGATCGAAAGTAAAATACAATGAAGGTAAGTATAAATTAACTAATTACATAGACTGAGTTGACAAAATATAAAGTATGGTACATGTAACAATAAGTATAAAAATAATATCAGACATGTGAAGAAAGATAACTATTTACTACAAGATTTATAACTAATAATTCATATGTAATTTTTTGTTTCAATTTCGTTTTGAATAAGTGGAGAGAATTAGATTCTTTAATATCATTTTCTATAGAGTTATAATAAGTAGGTCCTTGAAAACTGACAGAAAATTTACGAAGGTTTGTTCTACAAAAAGGAAGGTGAAAATCGTTCGCGTATCTAGTGGCATAGCTATGGACTTGTTTGTTTAAAGAAAAATAATTGTTGAACTTTGAAGGCAAAAGAGAATGGTTAAGACAAAACATAAGTTTACCCAATTCTAGTTGTCTAATATCGGAAAGTTTTAGTAGCTCTAATTCTTTGAAAATAGGGTTCTGAAAGAGAATCGAAAGTTGATTTAGAAATAATTCTGATAACTCGCTTTTGCAAAGAGACAAGACGGCGAAGATTGTTTTTGTACGTAGATCCCCAGACAATAATACAATAATGAAGATAAGAATAAACTAAACAATAATAAAGAGTTTTCAGACAGGGTTTAGGTAGAAACAATCTTGCTCTATTAATGACTCCTATTGATTTCGAGATTTTACGAGCTACTTGAGAATGTGCGGTTTCCAAGACAGATGTTCATTAAGGCCTACACCGAGGAAGACCGTTTCCTTAACCTGTTCGATTCTCTGTTCATTTATGCATATTTGCATTGGAAAATGATACCTTTTCTGTCTAGGCTTAAATAACATAAAGTTTGTTTTCTTCAGGTTTAAGGAGAGTTTGTTTGCCTTAAACCAAGTGGATAATTTATTAAGTTCGGAATTGAGTGAGGCTGCCAGGTAGACAGGATCTTTATGGGACATAAATAAATTAGTATCATCAGCGAATAAAAGCAACTCGACGAGCGTCGATCGTTATTTAAATCATTAATATAGAGCAAGATGCTCTTAGCTGGGTTTTGCCGCCAAAGTCTGTCCTGTTCTGGAACAAGGGTGCAAACTAATGGGTCATCTGCCAAAACATTTAACAGGTTTTCTTTCAAGAGGCCTACAGCAGTCGCCATGTTCATTTGATCTTTGTTGCGTATATATACAGCTGAGGGGAAGTGACTGTGCAATTGGCTTGGAAATAGCCTGGTTGAAATCCTCCCTGGCAGAACGCAGCAGCTTCAGATTAATGAGATAGTTTCCGTGTAGAACCCAATAATTGAAGAGCCCACTCCTTACTAGCTTAACAACGTGCGTAGGGTCTGGAACAGGAACTCTAGTGTCTTCATTTGCGATACTAGACATATGGCTTCTCTGGGAGGCTTCTGAGTCAGACACCCATGACAACTCTTGTAATCGATATCACTCCAACTTGCTAACCTGACAACGAGTGCACTTACGTTCTATCGGCTTTATACTTGTACGACCAACTTGTTCACATTCGTCGCACACAATTCCTTCTTCTTTGCATTCTTCACAGGAAACAACACTTTCAGTCCGATTTAAAAGACAATGTTTGCATGTCTGCACAACCTTGCGGCTGTCGTTATTATAGTGCTCAATTCGTGGTGCTCCTCTTTTGCTCGCCCTGTAATAACAGCCGACAGGAAACGAAACTTTGCCGTCTATACTACTAACTCGGAACCCCTGTGCTTCGGTGACAAAATCTAAAGATTCTACAGGATGGCATTTAAAATTTTCTTCAAACCATGCTACCGATGAAAGAAGTAGCGCTTATTACGAACAGCCTTACAAACCAACGTTATGCCGAGTATGTTATGTTACGTTATATTAACCGCTCTTTTGTGATAACTAAAAGCAATAATTTTATTCAATCGTTTTAATGTCCGTTTTCACAGCAAAACGTTTTAAAAATATACTGACGTTGAAGCTGAAAACCTCTAAAAACGGAAATGTAGGTAGTTCAGTTAGTTTATTTCCATCCAAGAT